TTATATTTTAACGTTCCCAAATGTAACAAAAAAACATTGAACCTAAAACAAAATCTTATTATAATAAAAATTTTCCTTCAATTTTAACTACTACAAAAATATGTATGTATAACAGAAAAGAAAAACATTTTTAAGCTACCCTTTATACGTCTATATAATTACGCAAATTTTTCCCTACCACTACAAATAAAAATTTACACAATACACGCATTCAATTTTTCCTTATAAAATTAATTGGCGTGTGTGTGTGCCTGTGTATGTTTGTATAAAAAAAATTTAATTTACTTAGGTTGTGTTATACTAAAAAAAAAATTTTAGGAGACAAGAAAATGAGAAATATGCTTACACTTGTATAGAAGAAAAAAAATTATGAAAACTAAAAAAAGAAAAAAACAAATAAATAAAAAGTCCTTACGCAAAGAATTTGATATTAGGATATTTAGGATATTATTCACAAAACATTTTTTTTTTAGGGAATTTCTTCTTTTCCAAAAGGATGTTTTGTTTGTTTTTTATTTTGATTTTCATGTACTTTTGTTTTTGTTGAGGTTAGGAGTATTATTTTGACGGCAAAAACAAAAATAATACGTAAAAAAAAAAAATTTTTTTTTTTGTAATTTAAAAATTTATAGAGAATTATTTTTTTTTTGTTATATTGTAGGTGTCGTTGTTGTTATCATTCATTCCGTTGTTATTATTTTATGAATATGATCCTTTAAATTAAAGAAAAATCTCTTTAAAAAAATAAAATTTCTTTTTTGTTTTTGCATTTTGTACTTTTTTTTTAAACAATATACAAGGACAAAAGGCGAAGTTTTTCTTCTGTTTTTCATTTTTTGTTTATTATCTGTTAAAAATGGCACTCCTTTTTCAAAAGGATATTAATCGCAAAATGAAAAGAATAATTTAAATATAGGGACTAGGTAGGGCGGCAGGCAACAAAACAGATGAAAAAAATGTAAAGAGAATGGGAGAAAAAGAGAAGTAAAAGGTTAAAATAAAAAAAAAAGGAAAGTTATTAATATTTAAAGAATTTAAAACGAGACGTAATTTCTCAGAGTTAAATATAAATTTGTATACTTTGTTTTTTTATATAAATATGTATGTAAGCCTAAATATACAAGTTATACAAGCCCATGCTATTCATATATTTAGTATACTTTAGAACTTATGCCGAAAAAAGAATTCTATATTAAAAATAATAAATAAGAGCAAAAAAAAAAAAAGAAAAAAGGATTTTTTTTTCATTGAATAAAAATTTAAAGATTTTTGGCCTCTAAACAACTTCTATATGACTGCTGTTTTTTCCAATTTTACAGAGGAGTGGGGAAGGGAAAGAAAATTATTTAATAACATTTTTGTTGTTTTCTTTGTTTCGTTTGTTCGCTGTACTCAAATGTTTTTTATTACTACTTAAGGTTCCTTGAGGAGTTTTTTTTTTTTGTTTTCTTATTTCTATTTTCAGTATGTGAGTTTTTTGGTTCAAAAGTTCTTATGAAAAATTTTTTTTTGTTTCTTATTAAAGAAAATAAATTTTTATAATCAAAATGGGAAAATGTTTAATATCCATTGGTAGGATAAATATTATATAAGTAAGTAAGTAATCTTATTTTGTATAACACTTTGTATAACACATACATAGAAACGTAATTATATACATAATGTTTAATGTTTTAGAATGTAATTGTTTTGGTTTTAAATTATTTTCAGTAGAAAAAAATTTATACATATTTGATATTTAATTTTTGATAAATGAAAAGTGTGATAAGTAGGAGGTTTTACGTAAGTTTCGTTGTCAAAGAAAATTTAAATGAAATTTGAAAAAAAAAAATTGAATTGTAAAGATGTGTGGGTGTGTATGACAATTATTATTGATAAGAAAATCGAAATTTTGGAAAAAAAAAATCATGTGACTTGTAAATGAAATTTGATCGTATGCTTGCTTAAAAATGAATTTTTTAAAAATTTTACAAGAATTATTGTTAAAAGGCTTTGTACAACGTCAGTAATTTTCTGTTTGATAATGATAAATTAAATTTTCTAAATATTTCGGGCAACGATATTTTCTAAAGAGACTAAGGCTGGTAGTTAAGAAAGTCTATAACTTTAAAAATGTTCCAATTAGAAAAAATTTTTGTCAGGTTCAATTAGGAACAGTTTAAGAACACATAGTTTTTTCTATATTTTATTGAATAATTTCATATTTAATGAAGTTATATTGTAAGTCTAACTTACATTTAACATTTATATTAGTTTATAATGTAAGCTGTAGTTACAATTACATTAGTTTATAATTATTGTAAGTCCAATAACAATCAAAATTAGAATTATTTTCTTTCGAATTTTAATATTAATTTCTCATTTTATTTTCGAAGATGATTTTATGTATAAGTACAATAATTAAAAAGAACACATGTTTTACGTAATATATAACATTTACTAAAGTTACACAATTGTTTCGTTATTCTCTCATTGTGATACTAAAACAAATTTTGTTTTTAAAATTCTGAAACAATTTGAAGAAATGTGACGAAATTCGAAATTGCACATTTAAATAATATTTCAACCTTAAGCGTTTTTTTTTCCAAAATAGATGATACATATGATCTTCTAGAATTTTGAGCACTTAGAAGTTAATGTAATTGAATCCAACATTTGTTCTATATTAGAATACAAGTTCTAAGATATGAGTAGGGACATTATTAAGTTAGTAAGTACAGAATATTATTATGGAATAGTATTACATTACTTAGAGGGCTCTGATAAATTGTGCCTTCTTTTCAGAGATTTTGATATTTTAATCTACATTGAAATAATTTGTTTTTTTTTTTTTTTTTGGAAAAATGTTAGAATAAATTTACTTTTATGTTTAGTACGCAATACAAAGTTAATTGAAATCTAAAATTAAGAGATTCTATCCAGACATTATGCATAGATAAAAATTATTTATTTTTAAATTACAATAATTACATATGTGTTGTGTGCAACCTTCTAGAATGTGATCTTATACATATGAAAAAATTTAGAAACAAATTTTGTATATCAAAAATCACATATATGTGTACGTATAACACACATATAAATATCGTATACAAGGGTAAATGATTTCCCGGTAGATTAAAAATTTCAAAATGTTAAATGACTTAAAAAACTTGCAAAAAAAAAAAAATTATAATAAAGAAATTATTCTTTTATCTTGAACTTTTGCTCCCACCACTAATTTTGTAGACAGTTTGGCATGTTAGGCATCTGAAAATTTCTCATTTTTATTTTTTTTTTAAAAAGTTTAAATTTTCTTTTATTTTCTTAAAGGATATCCACCTACTTATTTGAGTATACATAAAATTTTATCGAAGAAAATATTAAAATATCCTTCATATACAATTTTTCTTAGTTATACACATTTGTGTATTACAGATTAAGCGTAATACAAAAAAAAAAAACGAGAACAAAAGAAAAAATGTGTGTAAGAAAGACTTGATAATATTTTTTTTGTGATAAAAATGAAAAAAAAAAAAAACACAAATGTGTAGGAGGATATTTTGTCGTGAAAACTTTTGGGAATTTTTATTAGAATATTTTTTTTTTTTTTGCTTACTTATATTTATTTATTTAAATGTATTTGTGTTTCTCAGTTTTTTTTTTCTTCTTATTTAGGGGATTTTGATATTAGGCACATGTTTTAAGTTAAGTTCAAGTTCAAGGACGGACATTTTTTGGGTGATGTTTCTATCAATGTTAGCTGTCGTTGTTCTTGCTGTTTATTGTTATTGTTATTATTGTGTCTGTATTATGATTTTATATTTGAAATGTTATAAAATGGAAATTTGTAACAACGAAAAGGGAAACGAATTTGTTTTTATATATTTATTTTTTTTTGTTTTTTCCTTTTTTTTATTATTAAATGTGTATTTTATTTATTTTTGTATTCAAAATAAGGAAAGATAGAGGAAAAATATTTTGAGACTTCAAGGGTTGGAATTTGTTTTGTGATTGAAGGATGTTTATTTTTTCTTTCGTCTTTTTTTTTTTTGTTATTTATATTTCATGATAATAAAACTTTTTTTTGAAGGAATCGGAAATAAAAGGGCAAAAAAAGGAACGAAATTGAATAATTTTCTCAATAAATTTAAAAAGTGAGTTTATAATAAAAAAATTTTTTTATATGAAAATTTATGCAAAGCCCTTAACTAAATATTTATTAAAAAATTGAAATTTAAAAATTTTTGAAGGGAAATTTCAAATTTTAATATTTAAATTGAAAATCATAACCATTACATACAGTCTATATAACAATATCTTTAGAAATTTCAGAAAAGAATGAAACATTGTCAATGTCAATATTATTTTCGAAAAATTAAGGATTCCAGTTTATTTAGGACTACATTTAGAGAAATTTAATAATTTTTCTGATGGATTTAAGAAATGCAATCAATATATTTGTGCAAATTGTGTCTCACGTCTGATTTAATTTTTCTAATCCCTTCAAAATTTGCAACATTCAACATCTTGTTACTTTGTTTTGCAACGTCCTTTAAAAGGGTCATTGCAGTTTATTTTTTGACACAATTTGCGACTTTCATTTTTAAAAAGCCTTTTCGAATTTTTATTTTAAAATTTCAATGAGGAATTCTTGTGATCAAAAGTAATAAATTTGGCTACCAATTATGAGAAAAATATAAGAAGGTACTTACATATTTTAGGTTTTCATACCTAATATAATTTCGGAAAGTAGGTAACAAAGATTTTTCGTTTCAATATTAAATTAAATTTGAAATCAGAATAAATATTCACATATTTTTGTCGCAAACTATTTTAATACAATATGAAATGCTAATTTAGTTTGATCTTTTAATGTAACTTAAATTAACCAGAAAAATAAGGAGTTCTTGGATTTGATCTTCAGACCATTCCACATTAAATATTTTGTCACATAGTTTTATGAACTTCTTAAATTAATTAAAAAAAATATGACATTGAGTATTGATTTTAAGACTTACCTTACACGTTCCGAATGAATTTCAACTTTTGTTTTAGCCAATTGCTGTGCAGTATGCTGTTGTTGCATTAAATGTTGTTGATATTGTTCTTGTGACATTTGTTGCTGTTGTTGCTGTTGTGGTTGATTAGTAATAGATTGTTTTTTCATGACACCATTAGCTAAAACACCACCAATACCATTTGATAAATTTCCATTATTATGAATTGGTGAAATACTATGATCACTTGAAGCAGAAACTGGTGGTGATGTACTACCATTAGATGATGATAAACTTCCAGTACGTTGTCTTAATTCAATCAAACCATTCGAATTGTTTGTATTACCATTCATATTTGTATGGTTTGTATTACCATTTGGTGTGGTTGGTTGTTTTGCAATATTAGTATTGGTATGATAATTACCATTGCCATTGTTATTGGCATTAATACCGCCGTTGCTGGTATTGTTATTATTGATATTATTTGATGAAATTGTTAAAGTCGGTTTTTGATTATTCTTATTTTTTTTCTTCTTCTTTTTATTAGATTCATCATCAGACCGGCCAAAAACATTAGTATTTTGGGGTGGTGGTGGTGTCCAATCTAAATCTTTTTTCAAATGACCCCGTCCACATTTACAACCGCATGCCTTGTATACTAAATCATAACCTTTTTTAGTCCACAAATTCTGTTGACGTTGACGATCAGACCATGATCTAGCACGTCCAATTGATTTCAATGTATTGAGAACAGTTTGTTCCCAAGATTCAAAGCATTCACGATGCATATACTGTCCAGCAGTGCAATTTTCATTATTGCATATAACACGAATGCATTCACTTAAATCATCAACACCAATTATACCAAAATCATTTGAATCTGCTTTAAAACAATCACCGGTTGGAACACAACAACGTAATAAATTTTCATTTGACATACTGAGCTGTTGTTGCTGCTGAATATCAAATATATTTGCGGAATTATTTTGTATTAATGAATTATTATTATTGTTGTTATTATGTGGATCAATTATTGATAAATTTGATGATGAAATTGTTAGTTCAGCTAATCCAAGTAAAGCTTGAACATCAACAATCGGATTCAATTGTTGTTCTTGTTGATTGATATTATTGTTGATTGGTGATTGCTGTTGCTGTTGTTGTTGTTGTAAATTATTTTGATTCAAAGATAAATTGTTGATATTTGAAGAATTAGATGATACTGAATTGGGTGTTGTTCCGCCGACACCAATTATAACGCCCCCTGAATGTGGATGTGAATGATGGTTATTGTTGTTCCTTCTGGGAGCCATAAGGAGCAACGAATATGGTGAATAAGCAGTAAGAGTAGCTATTTTAAAGCCGATTTCAAAAATCGATTAAAAATTTAAAAATATTTTACACACTTTTTTTATTTTATTTATTTTGGGTTTTTGTATAAAAAAATTTGAATTGTTTGGCTTACTTTGTTTATCGTTTTCAAAAAGGAACACAAACCACAATATATAATTTTTATTTCGTGAATATATTTATATATATTTTTGTTTCCTTTTTAACGTTTTAAAATTTCACAAAATTTTTTTCACAAACTCTTATATTTAATTAAAAATTCACCATATTAAAATTATTTTTCCATATTTTTATCTTGCTTTTTAATTTGTTTATCATAGGGTATGAAAAAGTTTTTATGAATTAAATTCGTTATCACTTCTATAAATAAATTAATAAAGGAAAAAGTTTATTACTTATTAGTGCTCATGTTTTCGCTGTTGATTTTAAAAATTTGCAGAAAGTTGAGGAAATTTAAACTAGAGAAATTTAATAGTTATTAACTCTCGTACTCTTAACCAAATATTTTAAATTGAGGTTCTAAAATTTTGAAACTATATTATGTAGTTAGCATTTGCTTTCTTTTAAATTTTTCATTTTTGTGTTATAATATTTAAATTTGAAGAATTTGAAGAAACTCAAAGATCTAGTTAAAATATTTATTGGCAACGTTAATTATGATTCTAATTACAAAGATAATAGGTAAAAGATGGATTTTTCCTAGAAATGGATTTGAAACAAATTCGGAAGGAAACCAAAAAAAAAAATAAATGCTGTGATTTTAAATTGTAAACAATAAAGTATTGGACCTCAAGGGACTCGTTTACTAAAAGCAAAAAACAAAATTCTAAATTGGATAGGTAAGCGGTAAACTTTAATTGCCATTTATTTTGGACATTTATATACATAAGTGTACTTAAATTTTTATATTCAGAGAACGCAAAAGAAAGTTATAATTTAGGTAGGTAGGTAAGTTCCTACCAACTAACAGTTATCACAATGATTACTTTGAGGTAACCTAAAAATAATTTAAATTAAAAGTCATTCATTTCAATAAACCAAAGTACATACCTATGTACGAGTATGTGTATATTTTTCTAAACTTATTTTTTATACCCTTGAAAGGTAATTATTAATAATATTTCCTGCTTGTCTAATTAAATAAGGATATTAATAAGAAAGCGAATAATTTTTTTTATTTGAAATGAACAAGGTTAAAAGGTTACAAAAATGGAAACAATTATTAATTTATAAAAATAAAAATTCTAAAATATCCAAATTCTTAAAATTTAGCATTTTCTCAGTTGAAAATAATTGAAATTGTTTTCTTAGAAATTTACTTTTCCCAATATTCTTTATTATATTAATATTTAATATTTTCCGGCAATAATTTTTTATATGTGTATATACATATATTTCAACTTGAATGAAAATTTGATAATTTAAGTTCGATGTCTTGAGCAGCTTTTATTACAAAAAAAAAAAACGAATATTTTTGGGTTATTTAAATTGTTGGTGAGAATTTAAAGAAGAAACCAATATACAAAAAAAGGATAATAAGGTTTAACCAACCTTAATATCAATTACATACCCAATTATTTCAATGAGAAAAGCTCTTAACAAGTTTGGAAAGACTCTAAGGATGTGATCGCAGTCTTCTTATCACTTTACGCAAAAAAATTAATTTTATTCATAATCCAACAACAACCTACTACCTATTAAACAATTCAAATTAAAACCCCTGTCCAAATACATATTAACCTAAACTTCCATTAACAAAATAAGAAAGTATAAAAATGTTGTAATTAATTTAATGTTCTTACATATTATAAGATTGTAATTAAATCATAGTGCTATTCATGAATGACACACAAAAATTTGACTAATAAATATGAAAATCTACTAGATCTAAAAAAAAATTAATTTTGAAAATACTGTTATTTTTTTTTTGAAAAAGTGTCATATTAAAAATATTCTTACAATATTTTAAAAAAATTCTTTTCCTTACTAAGATATTTTTTTTTTAATATTTTGATTAATATTATTATTTTTTTGAATTTCATAATGAAATAATTCCACAAATTATTAAAAATACTTTCAGAATTAATAATTTTATTATTTATTTTTATTTTTGATATTCTTTGTTCTATCGATGAAAATAGGTAGGTTGGTACCTAGTTTTTTTTTTGAACAGGTACCTAGTTTTTTTTTTGAGCACTTAGGTACTAAAATTCTAATTTTCACTGAGGTTTTTTCTTTTTATAAACATTTTGTTTTTTTTTCATAAAATATGTTTTATGCAACTAAATAATTTTACTTGAAAGTTTTTCAACATTTTTATTTTTACTTGAAATTCTATCAGAAAAATTTTTTATATCCTAACTAGATTTCAATGTACTTTCAAACTAGACTAGTTGGTCGGTCAACCCCATAGACTTTCATAATTCAAAGCAATTGGTGGAATTTTTTCTATCATTGAAAGAAATCAAAATTTGGTAATCATTCATAAATAGCACCAATATTTAAAAATACAAGACAATAGGGGCTTAGGTAAATATTAAATTAAAAAATTTAAATTTAATTTCACCTTTTATTAAGTCTCAAATTCGATTTATTTTAAATTCTTTATTTTTTTTTGTTATTTTCCCTTAACAAAATGTTTTTTTAAAAATTAATTTTTTTTTTTAAATCAAAAACTTTTTGCTGTTCCTTTTCGTTTTTAATTTTTTAATAAAAATTTTCTTTTAATTTTTTTTTTTTGACTTAATATTTGTGTTTGTAAAAGTTAAGTATTGAGGTAATTAAATTCGATTTAAATTTTCATTCTAAATTTAAATTTAAGATATTTATTATAAAAAACAAAAGGATGTTTACTCATTCCTTCAATATACATTTAAAAGAGAAAATTTTAAAACAAAAATATTTTGATTTTTCTTCTCTTTTAATTTTTTTTCCTTCTTATTTACCTAATTTTGTTTATAAAAAAAATTTTTTTTTCAATTCAAGTTTTTTATTTTTTTCAATATTTTGGTTATAAATTTTTTTCCATTTAAATAATTTCGTGTTTTTTTTTCTTCACTTTACTTTTTTATTCAGAAAAATAAAGTAAAATTTAAATTAGACGCACTCTTATATTTTTTATTGAAAAAATCACTCCAATTTTAATTTGAAATTTGAGAGAAAAAATTTTTACAATTATTTTAAAAAAGTGCTTTTAAATTTTTAATTTGAAGTTTTTTTTTAATTATTAATGCGTACATTTATTTTGTAATATAAAAATCTCGGTAAATAATTACACACGCACACATACACGAGTGTATAAGAATATTCTAATAAGAATTGATTTTTTTTTTTTTTGAAATAACAGTAAATTGGTAGATTTTTATAGGATTTACAATAGAATAGAATAGGTAGGGTAATATATTCCTTTTCCTTTTAATATTTCTCACTCTAAGTATGTTTCTGGTATTAATTGTATGTATATTTTATAAGAATGAAATAAAAAATATTATAATTTTTTATTAATAAAAACAAATTTTTTTTTATTTTTTTCAAATTAAACTATTTTTAAATTTAAAAATAAAAAATGTCTTGTTTATTTTTTAAATTACACTTTTTTTTTTTTGAAATTGCATAGAGCAACAGATAGAATAAATAGGATTTTCATTTCATTTTTCAATTAAAAATTATTGTTAATTTTCACTTTTATTATTATTTTCTTCAAGAATAAATTTTATTAATGACTGTAATAAGAAATTTTTCTCTATAATTAATTATTCATTATTCACACAAAAAAAAAAAAAATAAATATTTAACTAAAAATAAACAGAAATAAAATTAAAGATTTAAAAGGTCTCCCTCTTTGTATTATTACAAAAAAAAATTAAAATAATAAAAAAACAAATTTAAATTTTCGCTTTATAAAAAAAAAAGAAATTTCTTTATTTTATTCTTTAAAAACACACCAAGTTTAGGTTTCTTTTGATGTTTTTAATTTTATTTTTCTTCTTGTTTTCTTTCTTATTTTAAAATAAATCACTTAAGAGAAATGAAAAACAAAAAACCAAATCTTTCAACGAACTTACTACACCGAGAGCGAAAAAGAAACTGAAAATCATTTTTTATTGCTGCATGCGACTTAATAAAATTATAAAGAAACAAAACAAAAATAAAAATTTAAACAGAAAAGTAAAGCAACAAATTTTATTCTACTCTTTCTATCCAATACATTCGCATTTGATTTTCAATCGACTGACACAAACACAAACATAATTTTTTGCTTACAATTTTTTTTTTTTTGTTGTACTTTCTGCTCTGATGTTGATGATGTACCGTAAAGTTTTATAATGTTTTGTATATATATTATTTTTATTATTTTATTATTATTATTTAAAATCTTGTTTTTCATTTATAATAATATTTATTTATGATATTTTTTTTTGTTGGTATTATAACAGAATACAACCTCAAACATAAATACGTTTTAAAATACTACACCGTATTCCGTAAACCGTATACGACGAATTTATATTTATGTACGCCTTTATACTATTATTATTGTTATTATTAATAATTTATATAAGTTTTAAAAATGAGTGGAACAATAATTTTACTCTTTCATTTCTCAGCCAATTTTAGTTGTTGAGTTTTTTCAGTTTTCTTTTACTAACTCCAAAACTGTTAATAAATATTTCAAAAGTATAAAATTTTATATTATAAAATATTTTTGTAATTAATTTTATTTTAAAAAACGTTGAAGAACTGAACTTTTAGAAGCTACTGTGAATTTTTAGTTAGTCCAAATTTTATGATAACACTTCATTTTTTCTTATAAGAATAATAAATGTAAATTTTGTGTGTTCATACTTGCATATATGTACATACTTATATGAAATATCAAGCAGCCAGCCTCTTATTTTTCGTTCCTTCTTATTATTTGCATGTAGCCAAAAAAAAAATTTTTTTTTGGTTGACGTGATTGTGGTGTTTTAAATTATATGAATTAATTTTTATCACGACACAACAAAAAAATTATTTTTCTTCTGCTATTTTTATATTAGAGTTTTTACAAACATATGTATGTAGGTATATTCTATTTTGAATTTATTTCTACATACAAACATTATGTAGTTTACACAATATTAATACAAACATACGATAAAAATAATATAAGCAACAAGAATATTTTATATTAATTTAAATAAAGATGTAAGCATGTTTGTATGTATATGTATGTACGTAACAAAAGTATGTATGTAATATATAGGCAGTTATATAATAAAATACAACATAGTATATACAGACTTATTCGTTTCATGCAATTTTTTAACAGTTTTGAGACGATTTTATATATAACAGAATTTTCTGTAATATGTTAGAAGTTTTAAAAAAAAAATTTTTTTTTGAATCTAGGTTTCAATCAGTTGGATTTTTAAGCAAGTGTAATATTTTTGTAAAATTTGTAGATATACATACATATGTATGTATGTACAGGAGTGTTGATTTTGTAAAAATCTCTTTTATTTTTATATTAAAAATCGGCGCAGAGTGCTACTTACACCATGTAATTAAACAATATAACCGGCACATATCTATAAATTTACACAATTTTACATTATTTGTAACTGTGCAACTGTATTTGCAATACAGGACATACAGGCGAAGTTTAAGATACGGCTTTGGGACATTTATTTTATAGATACATATATGTATGTACACTAACTATAGTAATTATGTACTATTAATTTGCAAAATATGATTTCGAAAATTATATAAAAACGAGTACCCATATGTGTATACCTACATGTATGTATATACTCGTATATGTATGTACCTACTCAATGCAATCGAACTCATGCAATCTTATCATTCATATGCATGTATGTATATACATATATATGTATATACGTACTTTATCGAAGCAATTCAGTTCTTCTCTCAGTTTCTATATGGATATGTATTGTATGTATGTACATTCGCGCAAATGTATGTATGTATGAATGGAATTTACTATTTTGCTCAATTTGGATTTTGTGTAATGTTTTGTTTGGTTTTTGAAAAATAGAAATTGTTCAATATTTAATAATAAAAAAATTGAAAAAATACTACACTATGTATAAATGAGTCTCGTATAAATTTATATATAAGTTATGTACGTACATACATATGTTTGTGTGTAGGTACATAATGTCTCAGTTCAGTATTTAAATACTTTTTGAATTAACGAATCAACGGGACAACGAGAACAATTTTTTTTAACATGCACGGCAAAACAACAGCAAAAGTTGGCTGAAATATGAGAGCCCAAAACTAATGTCGTATCTTCATTTTTAAATTTACAGCACTACTTTCTTGATAACTACAAAAACCGTTTTCTAGTCGCCACACAGTCGTCACATCATTCATATTGCAAAAACAAAATAATATTATAATAAAAAATAAAAAACAAAAGCAACATAAAGAATAGAAAAGTTAAAAAAGAAAAAAATAAAAATTAATCAGAAAAATTTTTCTTTCGTTCAAGGTTTAAAAAGCAACGAACTAAACGAATGTAAAATATTTGTAAAAAGAAAGAAAAATACAAAACAATCGTATTAATAATAAACGCCGGTTGTGTATGTGTTAGTTTGTCCGTGAAATCAAATGAAATCGAAAACTAAAGTTCATCGCTATATGACATTTTTTAACATATTATTATGTAGTAATGTATTTCTCCGTATATATTAATAATTGTCGCTACTAATATTGATAGCGTAAAACAACAAGTAGATGTACCACACCACAAATCTCATTACAATATTTCCCCTCTTTTATATGCCTTTTCTCTATTTGTAGCATTAGTATTTTGAAATTTTTTCTGTCAACTATTTACGAATACATACGAAGATATTTATGCATGCATAAGTATGCTTTCTACGGAATGTATTTTGGACATGAGATGAAATATCAATTTAAAATATTCGTTTGCTTCTTTATTGCACTAGCCACTAATGTGAGATTTCAGTAGCAATCAAGTAGTAAGTAATCAACTGAAAATTAAAATTGTGTGCAGATATTTTTATTTTTATATTGCAGAAACGCTAAGGGGAATTTGCTTACATGTATGTATTAGGAATGTGTATTTAAAAATGTTGTGTTTTTATTTTTATTTGTGGTCGTGACATTTGTAGCTAAGAAAAAATATAGTGTATATTGAGAACATGTTAAAACTTGATTAATTGTGGTTTTGTTGCTAATGCCGGTGAATCAGGAAGAATCAAGAATTTTTTGGAAGGTTTTCTTTGCATACACAAACATATGTACATCCTAATGTATATTTTTATTTTTGCGTTAGATTTTACAGAAATAAAATTTCACTTTCAATTGAAAAAAGATTTTTAAGAATTTTGTAAGAATATTTTTTCAATTAAAATTTTACATATGTACATACGAGTATATACATATGTATGTATGTATAAACATGTACACGTTACATAATGTAAATGCACTGTTAGTGCCAAAAGTAAATTTTACACTCAAAATTCTCAATTTTAAAATTTAGTTATTTTGGAATAAAACTAATTTAATATTAATTTTATTTAATTTACTGCACATTAATAAAACATTCAGGTAAAAAAACGAATAAGCCCGAATTTGGAACAGAAGCTGCTACTTACTTTAAGTACTTACTTTTGTTATAATATACATAATGTACATACCTACATACTTTATTTACCTAAGGAAGTGTACACATGTAAATACATAATATATGTACATACCTATTATGTATGTATGTACGTTATGTATGTATGAAAGAATGTACTAAATCCGAATCTGAATAATAAAGCATTTGAAGTTCAGATACATATTATGTATGTATGTAAATGCAGCACTGCTTTGGAGCGTTTCGGGCACTGCTGTATT